TCATTATTGTTTGTAATCAAGTGAGGAAAGACTGGTACATCTGACAAAGACTTACAAGGCAGCCAAGCTCTTCTCAATGTTCTTAGAAGTTGTATTTTCTCTATGTGTTTCCACATATTAAAAAGCTCTGCTTTTTATTCTAATTAGTAATATTTTCATTTAAAAGACTAAAATGGCATTTATTTCTGGCCTCATTAAAATAAACATCTTTAGACCTTAATATGCATATGATAACAAGATGGTCCTAACAGCTGCCTGCTGCATCATGTCATTACCAACTTCTAGACTGTTAAGCACCATTTCAGTATCTGACCTCTGGCATCATTTAAAAACGTAGTAAACACTTGGCTTGGACATGCAGGGTTGGGAACCCAGTGGGGAAATAAATAAAAAGCTCCAAGGTTTGGAAATGAGAGAGAGGGGTCAGATACTACTAAGATCCCAGTGACATATCTAAGTATAGATCAACACTGAAAAATCTGAAAATAGGAAGCAGACTGATATCCACTAGGAGATTTTCCTAGGTTTCCTGTTTTTTTGCAAGACAAAAAGCTGTTTGCAGAAATGCTACAGTATGTATATGTATGGACCTACTTAAATCGCAGTTTCACTGCAATCTCACAATTGCACAATTCACAACTACAATCTCCACAATTGCCACAAAAAATGGCATTGGCCATAATTTCCTGCAGAATCAACCCCCACAAAAAAGGTTACTGGAATACAAAGAAACCATGGCAATCACTGCAGCCACAGAGCACGTAATCTGAGAGAGCTACTGAGAGGGTAAGCTAATGACGCAGACTAAGTGAAGGCATTCGTTAGGAAAGCAAAAGTATTTCAGCGCCATCTGTTAAGAAGCTAGATTCAATGCAGCAATGCTATAGTCTGAAGGTGAGTAAAAAAGAAGTCTAAAAAAGTAAAATACATTTCAGCTCCAGATCATGTAACAGTTCCCTGTAGGAACCTTGCATTCAGACGGTGGTAAATTGTTTTGTTCATCTTGCAATGTGACTCTGGATGTGTCAAGGAAAAACAGCATTGATTGGCATTTAGAGTCCAAATTGAATATAAAGCGAAAGGCTTCTGCAGAGGCTGAAGGTCAAAGCAAGAAACAAGCAACAATGTCCTCAATGTTTTATAGAACCACTGAAAGCAGTTTAACAAGAAGAAAAGCTACATTCAAGCTAGTGGAGGCATTCACGGCTGCCAACACACCTCTGGAGAAAACTGATAACCTGAAATTAAGGGACTACTTGAACAAGCACGTCCCAAATTCTGGCAGTTCCCCATGTGCAAACAAACTTAGCCAGGATTATCTATCATAAGTAATTGCTTCACGTGTTCAGTTCACAAACTCTGCATTGGCAGAATATGAATTCATTTCAATTGTAGCAGACAAAGTTGCCCAGGATAACTATGTTCTCCACACTTTATTTGTACCTGGGAGCTGAAAAGACTGCGACCTGCCTGTTTTTCAACAAAACCAGTTTAATTTGCATCTGTAAAATTTTTAACTGTTTGTAAACTATGGCTTACAATTTAACAAGACCTGGGCATTTCTGTGTGATAATGCAACATATATGTACAAAGCTTTCTCTGGTGTGCTACATGGACTGATACCCAACACAATTCATGTTACCTGCAATGCACACATTTGTTCTTTAGCAAATAATACCTGCCGCACAAATTTTCTTGATGTGGATAAACTGGTTTCTTTTTAAAAAAGCATTCAAATATTGTCCAGACCATAAGCCTCAGTACAAGGAGTCCATCACTGATCGAAGCAGGGATCTAAATCAGCTGTGTCATTTCCACCAGAATCAGTGCTTATGAGGTGGAATTCATGGTTTAACACAGTTCATTACAAGGCAAAGAATATTAAGTACTATCAGGAAATTTATGTGCAATGAACATGAAATCATATCCAGAACACAATGTACATTCAAATTACGCAATCTCTTAAAACAGGGCAACACTGAAGATCAAGTTAAGCTTGTGGCTGAAAATGCAATCTGGTTCATGGAACTTCTAACATGGTTTGAAAGTCGGCAGGCTTTGATTCACTAAGCACACAAGCTGATGGATTTGATAAATTGGATTGACAACAACTTTCAAACTGTCAAAGTAAAAACCAGCAGAGACAAGAACTGTTCCAGGCACAGGTGCGAAGTTGAATTGGTACTTAAGACTGATCAGTCCCTACCACCTCGGCTTAAACAACTGGCTGCCTCCTTTTTTATATCTATTCACATTTTTGACCCAAATCAGGTACCTTTTCTGAGTTGTAACTCTCAGCTACTTATATCAATCCCTGGATGGCAGAAAGAGCATGACTACGAATGTGCTGCTTCCATGAACTTTGTCTAAGAATGCCAGATGCCTTTGACTGTGACTTGTGTTTTGGGATTCTGCTTCTGATTGATTTCCATATCTCTACAATTTGGTTGCTTTACAATTCCAACCAATTCAGTGGATGCAGAACATGTGATCTCAGAATGTGGATAAGTGTTCATACCACAGAGAAAGAAGATGTCAGCTACATTTGCTGGTGAATGCTGCATGCTAGCATTTAAAAACTAACATGAATTGTTTCTATCAAAGTTAGCATTGCTTAATATTTCTAAACTTTTTGTAGAATGCTAATAATAAATTATGATGATATAAATTACAATTCATATTTTGTATACATTTATATTAATAATATATTTAAATTTAGATTTAAATTCAATACTTATATTTATAATACAGTAATTTACATGAGATTTCCATGGAAATTAAATTTGCTATTTATGTGGGCTTGGCCTCTGGGCCAATCAGCAGCAAGGGCCAGGGCCACCGGGGCCCCTCTGTCAATCAGTGGCGAGGGTCAGGGCCACCACAGAATGCTCGAGAAACTGGCTCTATGCACTATGAACAGGCCATGAAAACCCCTTGGTTTTCCTCTAATTTAAATGTATATACACAAGACAGGATTTACCATGTATATACGACACCTTGGCAACAGTTTAGTTTGCATTTCTAATACAATATTTTACTGTTCTGCCTTTTAGGTTTTAAATGCTGTTGTATGACAATGCTAGCACTTGCCATTTGTGGGGGAAAAATACAAGTGTGGAGGAGAAATACAAAAGAGGAAGAATGTTTAGTACAGTCAACGGTCAAAGGAAGTGGCAAGATTGCCTCAGACTATAAGGCATGGGAAGGTAACGGGTTTTTGCTAAACTTGCTGTTTTAATACTGATGCTGTAATTACTATTTTTGATCTTAAAGTTATAAATTCTTTAGGCAGACCCTATACCATGATTGGTTATAAAAGATGATCTCATGCAATTAAAATGTATAAATACTTTCGCATTTTCTGTATTAGTGGGGAAGTAGGAAGAAATTCTCTTCCCCCCTACAGCTGTAGCTCAATAAAAGCTTCTGCTGACCTGCTTCACAAACAACGCAGAGTACTGGTGGTTTTTTCCACGACAATTCTTGGTGCCGTGACTCGAATCCACGACACGGATTGAGGGGAGAGGACCACAGGCCGCCACCTCCAAACCTCGAGGCGCCGAACTCGAGAGGTAAGAGACCTAATTCAAAATCTCTATTGGGGTTTCGGAGGAGGACTGCCTGTAGGCTCCCACCTTGACCGTGGTAACTGGATCCGAACCTTGTTAATACAGGTCAGTCTAGAACCTTACTGCCGGCTAGAATCTTGTCAGGTAAAGGATCCTATCTCTGTGTCTGGTAACGTACGTTGTTTTCGGAGAGATACTGTTTAATGCACCTCC